TATCTGGGCACCCACCTTCCAGAGCACAGACGCCCTCGATTTAGAGGCTGTGGTGTGTGGTGGGGGCCTCTGTCTGGGGGAATACCTGGGTGGGGCAAGGAGATCCTTCTCTCTGCACCGCAGGACCCCTGTTAGCCCCAAGCCTGGGATCCCTGATTCCAACGAAGGCCACTGTGTGGCTCAGCCAGTGCTCCCTCCCGAAGTTTAGCCCACAGTGTTTGCTGGGGCGAGTTCTTCCCTGGGTTGGAGTTCTGGTGGCTTTGCAGGTGAGGGGAAGGAGACTTGGGGTGAGGTCAGATTAGGCTGGGAGTCTCACCCTGGCAAACCTCAGCCCCCCACTCTCAGGCCCAATGGCCGGCCAGGAGCAGAACAGGGGCCACAGGAAGGGCTTTGGAGGGCATGGGCCTCTTTGGGTGACCCTTCCATCCCTCCCTATACCCATCTGTAAAATATGCAGGGCAGGAGGCAGCTCAGACCTGGCCTTGCGGCCCGGTCCAACAGCCCCCAGGTTTGGGGCACTCTGGCCTGACCGGCTGTGGAAACCGAGGCTAGCAGGCATGGGGTGTGGCCGGAAGGGGCCCCAGAGGAACTTCCTTTCTCCTGCAGCTCAAGCCAAATTGGGGCTGCTCTCACCCTACAGTCCCCCTGGTCCCACTCACAGGTGGCTTCTTCACTCACTGGAGAGGTGAAGCTTTCCTCATCTGCTGTCTGACCCTGCCCATCTCTGGGTCGGTGGGTGAATGTCCCACCAATAAAATGGAGCAGCAGCTGCCACTTGCTCACTATGAGCCTTCCTGTCCTGCCAGAGTCACCTCATCCTCCACCTCTTCCTGGCTTATGGTCTCCTGTCCTCTCTTGGCTCCACTTGGCGGTGACAGAAGGTTCCAACCCCTTCTTTCAGCCCCAGAGCCTCCTCCTCTAAGCAGACCCCAGACTGATCACTGAGGGGACAGCCTCTGCCCCACCCTTTGGGCCTGCTCTCACCACTATCGCGGGCTGACCCCGTCTGGTTATGGCCGTCTCCCACTGGGGGTGCGGAGGCCTTTGGGGTGCGTTTTGGAGGGGGGGGCGTCCCAGCGTGGCCTGAGCCAGACTCAAAGGGATGGCCGAGGTAGGCATGGCTTCGGGCGGCAGTGCATCTCGCTGCCAGGAGAGGGCGCAGGTCCCCCGTAGATCGCGAGGAGGCAACTCGCAGCTTTAAAACTCCTACGTACGATTCTTCTCTCGGGAAACTGAGGCCCAGAGAAGGGTCATCCCCGCCCCGAGGTAACCTCGCAGCCCTGGACCCGGGGGTGCCTGGAGCTTCCCCTGCGCTCGGCTCTGTCTGTGAGGGGACCAGGGCTGGAGGTGCCCAAAGCGGGCACAAGGGCTAGGCCTAAAAGTCTAGAAGGCATTTGCCCGGGGCTGGAACTGGGAAAAGAAATGTCGGCTGAGGCTTAAGTGCTTTGGCGCAACCGAGTGGCGGCGCGTTGGTGACCCGGGAACAAGGCTCTGGGAAGGGTCCAGGAGGGGCAACACTGGTTCGTGCACAGCCCTCTGAGAGGGGGGCTTATTTTCTCCCGGCACCGCGCACGTGGGAACGCGGGCTCCAAGAGGTTGTCACCAGTCCGGGGTCACCCAGCTGAGCGGGGTTTGAATCAGAAGACGGGGGCAGCAGATACCCGGGGGGCGGGGAGGCCCCACTGACTTCCTCATCCCTCCCCATTGCACAGAGGGGGAAACTGAGGCCCGGGTGACCTAGGCTCTCAGCGCCCCGATCGGCGCCAGGCCATTGCACACCCCTCCAGCTCTGGCTGGACATGTCCCGGTCAGATCTACAAATAGTGGCGGGTTGATGATTAAGCCAAAGGACCGAATGGTCTTTCGGAGTGACCTCAGGCCCAGGCCCCGCTTCCTGGCCTCAGTTTCCCCTCTTCACCCCCGGGATCCGCGAGAGGCCGAATCTGGTGTCCAGTGCTTCAGTTTCACCCCAGGGTCCACGAGGGTGGAGGGCTTCCCGACTGGGAGCCTGGGCGTTTGTTATTTTGCTCCACGCCTGGTCGGAGCCACGCCCCTCGCCGCGCCATTGGCGGGTTCCATTCCGGGGCGGGGCAG